TCCTTCCTTCCTTCCTTCCTTCCTTCCTTCCTTCCTTCCTTCCTTCCGTGGCATTGGTTGAACCTCTCACAACAGTAATTAGCGAACACACATACCTCTGTTTATATTCTAATCTAGTTTTCCCAACTGTCATGGACGATGAGTGTAATTTACTTAATGGGCCCATACGGGGAGAGTGACTGCTTCGTTATGAAAGTTAGTATTTGAGAAATTAGAATAAATCCACGTGACCTGACAGGGTGAGGTCTAGTGGACAGGACTGGTGACCCCACTGCCACTCAGGGCCACAGCCATCGAAACATGAGGGGACCTGTCACCCCTCACTTCTGCACACTTCTCTTTTGAATTTACACCCCCGTGTCACGTGACCAGGCACCTCTCAGATGTGCTCTAAAGTTGCCCGGCAGCAAGACAAAACATCTGGAACCCATGACGACACACAAGCTGGTCTCTGTGCCTACAGGGCCTTGCATCTGTGCATTCAACCGGCTGCAGATCAAATGATATCTGAAGTATAAGCAATAACTTCACAGAGAAGAGCGCGCGGGTGCTCTCTGTGTGGGGTTGGCATTCTGGCAGGAAGGGTCAGCCGTCTGCAGAGCAGAGCGTCTGGGAGGGCGAATGTGGGAACTGTGCAGATGCGACTTCATCTCCTCTAAGGATGTGAACATCTTTAGTTCCTGGCGTCTTTGGGGAGAGGGGGTTCCCTGAAAGCAATCTCCTGAGGATCTAAAAAGGATATGAAGAAAATGAAAACACCTCAATCTTCATGTCCCCTTTCCTATGCATTGATGTGCCACTCTCCTTTAAAAGTTTGATTTCCTTAAAATGTGTGTGTGTGTATGTGTGTGTGTATGTGTGTGTGTGTGTGTACGCACACGCGCTCACACTTGGGCATGTGGGTCAAAAACTGCACATGGAGGTCGGAGAACAATGCTCCAAACTCAGTTCTTTCCTTCTACCATGTCCACCCCAGGACTTGAACTCAGGCTTGGTGCTCTGAGTTTGTCCGCTGAGCCATCTTTCTGGCCTTTTCTCCTGTTCTAGAATAAATCACATTCTGCTCCCCTTTTGATACTGCAAAGATTCCGAGCATCCTTTGCGTCACAGGAAAAGAGAGCAGATGCATGAACACTACTCTTCCTGACCCCGCCCCCCCATGAGGCAGGGTATGAAGAGTCAGAAGCAAGCCTAAGTTATACAGTGAGTTCTATGCTACACCGTGAGATCTTTTCTAAAATAAGCAATCAACAGCAACAACAAATCAAATAGAACCAACCAAATCAAAGCACGTATATCCTCTGTTTCGATCCTCAGCACTGAAAAAAAAATTCTTTTCTCTCTCTCCTAACGTGTTCTGCACACACAGACATTGACGTCTCCATCGTCTCCTGCATGGAAGCCATCTGTATCTGATGCTAATGAATTACGTAAGGCAGACCAGTTCTCACATGGCCGTGGCAGTTCCCCGCCCTCTGGCTAGCCCTTACTTACCCACTGCTGGGTTTTTATTACTTTAGATGTTTCTGCCCGAATCACACGTACAAACAGTATCTTTATTTACTCTGTAACCATGTTCCTTTGCTCTCTGTGAGGCTTGGGCCTTGTCACATGTCTGACATCTCTAGGTCCCCAGCTTCTCCCTGGCTGGGTATTCAGGGTACCCTAGCTAACGACCATCTGTTACTTACCAGTGTGGATCTTCAGGTGTCGCTCCATGTCCTTCATGCCATAGGCAGTCTTGAACTGGCAACCTGAAAAAGCCAAGGGAAATAAGTTCAGAGGGAACTGAGGTGGCAGAGACTTCCCTCACCATGCGGAGATGGCTAGCAACGCAGGAAAGACATGATGCCCTGTGCCTGACACGGGAAAGCATTGGTTTGGCATAACCTCAAAAAACACAGGGAGCCAGCAGAGGGACTCACGGACTCACACTTTACCACATGGCCCATAGGCTAGAAAGATGTTCTCGTAAAAGAATGAGACAGACAAATGCTTGACTCCCCTGTTTATGGGAGACTAAAGACTCAGGAGAACTGGGTCACTGGGGACTGGAGATGGTGTAGCAGTTAGAGCACTGGCTACTCTTCCAGAGAGCCCAGGTTCAGTTGTCAGCACCCACCCAGAGGCTCACATCCACCTGTAACTCTAATGCCAGGGCATCTGATGCCCTCTTCTGACCGGTGGGCACCAGACACATGTAAGGTGTAGACTATGAGCAGTCAAAGCATTCATAAACCTTAAGAAAAAAACAAAACAAGAAATTTCAAAGACGCCGGGCATGCTGGCTCTAATCCCAACACTTGGAAACTGAGGCAGGGCGATCATGAGTTCAGAGCCCACGGAAGCTATATAGTGAATTCCAGGTCTGCTTGATCTACACATTAAAACAAATCCTAAGAAGAACCCCCTTCTGCACATGCGATGCAGGGCGCCCCTTTTACCGGGATAGCAGCAGCCGAGTCTCTTCTGAGCTGAGGGCGCTGTGGGCTTTTTGGTTCGTGACTTGGCTGGGAGAGCAATCACGGTGGCTGTCTGGTTATCATTGCTTTCCGTGGGCAGGTACGTTTGGTAGCCATGTTCAAAGACGAACTCTGGAGCTGAAACTGAAGAGTACAGAGCTTATGAATTCCCACAGGACGACAGATATAATTCACTCCGGCTAATGAGGCACGGGAGCACGTCTGTGGGAAGAACTTCCTTCTTCATTCGAAAATCAAGTGCCTGAGCTGGAGTGTGTATGCATGCAGAGGCCAGAGGCCATTGCTAAGAGTTGGAGTGTGCTGGGGTCCAAACTCCTGCCCTCATGATTTAGCAGGAAGAACTCTTAAGTGCTGAGCCATCGCTGAAGCCCCGGCTTCAGATCTCTTGGCAGTAAAGTCCTTAAAACTGACCCCGTGTAGACATTGCTAACTGTGTAGGCGGATGCACAAAAGGCAGTATGGCACAGACATACTTGCAATTTGGAGGGAAAAGGAAACAAAAAAATATAAACACAAACAAGTCAAACCAAAACATCAAATAAGATGTCATTACAAAAAATAAGAAGTTGGCTGGGCAGTGGTGGCGCACACCTTTAATCCCAGCACTTGGGAGGCAGAGGCAGGTGGATTTCTGAGTTCGAAGCCAGCCTGGTCTACAGAGTGAGTTCCAGGACAGCCAGGGCTACACAGAGAAACCCTGTCTCAAAAAAACAAACAAACAAAAAAAAACAAAAAAACAAAACAAAACAAAAAAAGTAGTCTTGAATTTTTTTTGTATATATATATATGTGTGTGTGTGTGTGTGTATATACATAAAATTATATAGTATAGATTTAACATTTATATAGTATGTATAAATACATCAATATATATTATAGAATATATTATACATGTTACATGTATTATATAATATATAATTATATAGTTATTATGTATAATATAATATATGCTATTTAATACACATGCGTGTATATATATATTTGTGCTCACTTTGTGAACTATGTTCTTAGTGTAGGGCTTGCAAAGGTCTCCTTTACTAAGATAGTGCTTGCCCATGGGAGGCCTAGTTCCAAATGAGAGTCAATGCAGACTATGTTCATCAGGACCAGGCAAGGTGGACCCGTGATGGTCCTGAGAGCCATCATTGCCTGCTCCGAGCCTCGGACCTCAAGCATGCAGCAGCCGTCCTCCCTGTTTTTGTTTTTTTTAAATGAACCCAGACCTGCAATCCCTACTTAGCTCTGCCAAAGAAATCTGTACTGTAGGTCATTCCCCTCCAAAACCACAGACCCAGCTACACAAGACACACAGTAGATAAATTCCGACTGAGAAGAGTTCAGCAAAATACTTCACCCCAGAAACCACGGGGGTCATTGAAAAGGAAGCCTAAGAAACTGTCACAGTAAAGAGAAATCTAAGTAGAGGCCACAACCCAGCAGTGTGGTGTCCTGAACCCTTGTTGTTAAAGAAGATTTATTTATATTCTATGCATATGAGTGTTTTGCCTGGCTGTGTGTCTGTCTGGGTGTCATGTGTCTGTCCGGTACTCTTGTGTATCATAAGAAGGCATTGGATACCCTGGGATGGGAATTGCAGATAGCTGTGAACCACCATATGTGTGCTGGGACTTGAACTCTTGTCCTCTGTAAGGGCAGCAAGGGCTCTTAACCACCGAGCCATCTCTCTAGCTTTTTACGCATTGATTTTAACATGTGGTTTCCTCCTCCTCCTCCTCTTCTTCCTCCTTCTCCTCTGGAGGGTTTTCTTGAAGGGCAGCCGCCCTGGTTCGATTTTTGTCTTTAAATCACATCATCGTTCCCACCCTCACCTCCAGTGCCCACAGCATCCTGTTCTGGGTTCGTCATGGAGATAGACCAATTACCCATACGGAGCCCATGTGAACCCCTTTAAAAATGATCCCAAGAGGGGTTGGAGAGGTGGCTCCGTGATTAAGAGCACCAGGGCTGTTCTTGCCGAGGACCTGCATTTGGTTTGCATCAGTCACGAGGCAGCTCACCACCATGCGTAACTCCAGAGGTATGCACATAGCATAAACTCACACAGGCACACATACATACACATAGACAAATGAAAAACAAGTGAAGACCGTGCACGCCGGAATCACCTACCACCATGCACCTGTACAGAGAATATCCTGTGTGTCGTATGGATGCATCACCTGCTCATTAAACAGCCTGTAGCCTATGGCTTAGGAGGGAAAGAGAGGCAAGACATCTGGGAGGAGAAAGAATTGTGGGAGAGAGAAGGCGGGAGGGTTACTGAAAAGGTGACAAGAGGGACTCATGGTACCTGAGCACAGGTAACCGGCCAGCAGCAGAATGTAGGTAAAGTAACTGGGTTATTTTGGTTATGATCTATTCAGAATAGAGCCTAGCTATATGGCCAAGGTACCTGTAAATATATTTTGAGTCTGAGTTTTATTTCTGGGAGCACAGGGCTGGGAGGAAGAACCAGGCTTAATGGCAGCATGCATCTCTTCAGACTCTTCCTCCTCTATCACATTTCTTACACACACTCTGATCTCTAGCTTGCCCAGGTGTGCCCACCTGCACCTTTCTGCATCCTCAGGACTGTCACTGATTCATGTCAGATGACACTTGACTTCTGACAGCTTTCGACAAGTGAGCAAACCCAGCCTCCACTATTCTCAAAGGAAAATGTCCTGAGATGCCTGACTGCTTAAAATCAGCTGTCCAGTTCTGACCACCAGTGTTCCCTCTTCAAGACCAGTCTCTGGGCAGTTCACCGGCCTGCGTGCTCCTGCTCATGGGCGTATGTTCAGGGCCTGGTCCCAGCTGGAAGCAGAGGAGCCCTCAGGACTCATGACCATGGCAGGTTCTCAGCCTGAATCCAAGACCTACTGAATCCAGACATCTGCAGGTGTCTCCATGGATCTGTGTTCTAAAAAGCATTCTAAATGACCCCTGCTGGGTATGACAGCCACTGCTTGGATCAGCCTGTCTGGGTATACAGCATGACTTCTGCATCAGCTCCTGCCTCCAGGTTACTGTCCTGACTTCCTTCTATGATGAACAGTGATGTGGAAGTGTAAGCCAAATCAATCTTTTCCTCCCTAAATTGTTCTGGTCATGGTGTTCTGTGAGGACAGAATCAGTAACCCTAAGATAAGTTGGTAGTACGATAATGCAGTATTGCTGTGACAGACCTGACATGCTTTTGGAAGGACTCTGGAACTTTGGCCTAGGAAAGCCATTAGTGTGGAGAGCTCAGTGAGAGGTTCTGTAGGAGCTTGGAGGATAAGGATGTTCAGAGCAGTGCAGAAGATGGAGGCCTGGCTCAAGAAGTCTCAGAGGGAAGCAAAGACTCTAACTGGCCATTTGTGTGAAGAGTCTGTGGTTCTGGTTAGCTGGGACTAAAGAAATCAGCTGTGAGTACACTGTCACTGTTTTCAGACACACCAGAAGAGGGCATCGGATCTCATTACAGATGGTTGTGAGCCACCACGTGGATGCTAGGAATTGAGCTTAGGACCTCTGAAAGAGCAGTCAGTGCTCTGAACTGCTGATCCATCTCTCCAGCCCAAGAATCAGCAGTGATCAACAAGAGAACAGAACCACTAAAGTGAAACCTTTGTTTTGCTGGGACGGTGAGCTGAGAAGTTAGCGGTGATTAACAAGACGCCAGCATCATTAAGGTAAAATTGCCCGGAATGTGTTTCTTGAAAGTCAGCACACAGAAGCTGTGCTCCACACATGGCCAAGGTTGTACTTTACGATGGCAGCTGGACTTGGTAGTGTAAGAATCACCAGATGGTTCTTGTTTTGAAGGTATAAAGGGCTCATGGAGAGCAGCTGAGGCTTGGCACTGTCTGACAGGGCTGGAATCCCTGAAGAGACTCCAGGAGAGATTACTGGCGAAAGTGCAGCTCAGTCGAAGCAAGGGGCCAGCAGTTTTGGAGATGCTATTGCCATGGGATGACCACTAAGGCCAGCAGCAGCAGTGGAGTGGAGCCAGTCGGAGTCTGGAAGGCAAGCTGTGTGTGCTGCAGAGGGCGGAGCTGGAGAAGCATCCGAAACCCCTCAGAGGAGTCAGATCGTGAGTGAGTCCCAGATTATTGAACGCCGAGTAATTGGCACTGTTGGAGTTTGGTTTTGCTTTGTTCAGATTGTGACTATGTACCGATTTTTCACTCTTAAAGAATTCAACTTAATTTTGATTTTAACAGGAGCCCACAGCTGACAGATGTGACCTTTTAAGAGTGATTTGGGATTTTTAAAGAAACTGGTGATTTTAAAGAGACTGGACTGAACATTTATTGTGTTTGAATTCATAAGGACTTTTAATGTTGTTTATGCTTTATATTGTGATGTTAATGTTAGCATGTCATCTTGGGGATAAATGGTAAATGGAAGGTTCTAACTGAAAGGCGATAAGCTTGTCGAGTTGACAATGGGTCGGTTGTACTGGCAAGTTTTATGTCAACTCGACACAGGCTGGAGTCATCAGAGGAAGGAGTGACAACTGAGAAGGTGCTTCCATAGGACTAGGTGTAGGCAAGGCTGTTGGGCATTTTCCTAATTACTGAATGATGTGAGAGGGCCTAGCTTATCCCAGGTTCTATACCAGTGGTTCTCAACCTTCCTAATGTGTGACCCTTTAATTAATACACTTCCCCATGTTGTGGTGACCCCCAACCATAAAATTATTTTCATTGCTACTTCATAACTGTAATTTTGCTAGTTCTGTGATATAGATACATGCTTTCCGGTGGTCTTACGTGATCCCTATAAAGGCAGTTCAATCCCCCAAAGGGGTCGAGACCCACAGGTTGAGAATCACTGTTCTAAGTGAAAGCGGGTTGAGCAAGCCACGAGGAGCAAGCCAGTCAGCAGCACTCCTCCATGGCCTCTGCATCAGCTCCTGCCTCCAGGTTCCTGCCCTGTGTGAGTTCCTGTCCTGACTTCCTTTGATGATGGACACCAATGTGGAAGTGTAAGCAGAATAAACCCAACCTGCCAGAGATGTGGGTCCCCTGAGAACTTAGCACACCGATGTTGGAGTCCCTGCCCCAGAAATCCTGATTCCTTCTGAGGTGCTGCCTGGGTGCTGGTGTCTAATAAGTTCCCCAAGGACCCTGATCTACAGATGGGACTCGGAACTGACAGCTAACAGAACAGCTAAGCCCAAACTGGTGGTGGGGTCAGTGTGGAGTCCAGAGATTGTGGGCAAGACTACCTATTTCGTTATTTGAAGAGGGGCAGCTAAGTCTCTTAGACACTTGAGGTTAGCACATGTTAGACTCTACACCTTGAACAATGCCCCCAACAGACATTCCTGCCCTCTAGTGGACTATTACAGAATTCCTGTGGCAGCCCAGGCATGAAGAAGTCTGGCTGTGGCCAGAGCCATCAGACTGCGGTGGGATATAAGAGTTGGAGTCTGTCTCTAGGGCTTATGTTGTTGTCTGCACCATTCCTGAACTGGGTACCAAGAAGATCCCAGGGCTGGCTGCTGTGCAAACCCACAGGGCAGCTGCAGGCTCAGAGGAGGTGAAGGGGAGTCTGCTATTTGGTTGTGGGGTCAGCTTCGCATGGAGGAGACATTTAAGCTGTTTGGATTCAAGAAGTAACAAATTCTCCCATCTGAGGTCACTGTCACTGTTGACGCTGAGTGTGCAGAGTCTAAGACTCTTGGAGCAGACATGGGTGGACCTGGACTCAGCTTCTCCAGTGACCATTTCACCTGGGGAAATGACCTGGCCTTAGAGGGTGTGTGTGTGTGTGTGTGTGTGTGTGTGTGTGTAAAATGCTTTTTGAGAAAATGCCTCCAAGCTAAGCCCAGATATAAGCATAAGAATGAAATGAGTTCCAGGCAGAGGAACACCTCCTGCCAGGACTCTAGGGTGCTAAGAAATGGGGCTCACTGGAGAAACCGCAAGGAGTTCACTGTGCTGCACATGTGGAGGGCATGCTGGTGCTAGGGAAGCCAGAGCCTGTGTGTAGACTGTCACTTGTCAACAGGTGACATCAGCCAGGCAAAGCTGGGAAAGGCATTTACAGCGGAGGGAGCAGATAAACAAAACGCACAGACTTGCAAAGGCCTCCGGCCATATGCCGCTCAGAGCCTCCACGTGGCTGAGTCCCCCACAACTCTTACTGGGGCTTTGTGTTTTGAAGTCAGGAGGTCAAAATCTCTTCAGGGAGATGCCCTTGAGGAAAAGGGACCAAACACTCGGTTCAGGGCATCCATGGATCCGTGGGATCTTCCTGGACATGCTTCTTCCCACAGGTAGTTTGTCCTTATCTAGCTGAGATACAAACAGGTCACAGCAGGTCTCAGAAGGCCACTTCCAAAGTGACTTCCTGTCTCTCCATTTTCTTGATTACTTCCTTGAAGATTTATTTTCCTGTACTAAAAACTATCTGGACACAAATGTTGGGAGCATTAAAAATACTTGTGAAATTCTGCTACTGCCCCAAACTGTCTTATGTGCACGTGTGTGGGCCCAAGTGTCGGATGTGCGCCAGGTTGGTGCATGTGTGTGTGTGAGCTTAAGTGTGCGCCATGTTCTCGAAACGCCTTTGAAAAGCCAGAGGGAGGGCACTGGAAACTGAACTCAGGTCCTCTGCAAGAGCAGCCAGTGCTTTTAGCCACCAAGCCTCCTCTCCTGCCTTCATGCCCCAAGTTTTAAACGGCACACGAATAGTTTATAAAGTGGAAGCTGGCTGTTCCTCAGCATCAGTGGATCTAGCTGGCAAATGTTCTCTGAGAGGAAGCTAGAAGAAGCCTGTAGACTCGGTCAGGCGTATTGATGTATTTTGTTGAGCCAGTGAACTCTCAAAAACTGAGAAAGAACATCTGGGCTGTTGAGGTGGTTCAGCTGGTAAAGATGCTTGCGGTCAAGCCTGACGACCTGAGTTCGATCCCCAAGACTCACACAGTGGAGAGAACCAACTCTAAGGTTGTCCTCTTGTGTCTGCATGTGTGATATGGCATGAATGTTGGGGCACACACTGGCAGACCCACAGAACAGCCGCTTTGTACATGATTTTTCCACGTTACCACAGTCCGTGCTATGCCCTCAGAATCCTCGATAGACACTCATTGATTTTGCTTTCTGTCCTGGAAGCTTTTATTAACACTCTTCCACGCACACACTTCCTACCATCCACACAGACCTGGTCCTCTTTCTGAGGCTCAGGTATTGTAGACATGTCTGACATAGTTTGCCCATCTCTCTCCTGATGGTTACATATAATGCCTTGACTTTTTATACAGTATAAACCGTAATGAACAGCTTTCATCTGCTGTCGAGTTTTGCAGGATACTTAGAAACAGATCCATTAAAGGCATTTAAGTGTACTTTATTAATTCTATGACATTTATTTATCTGCGTGTGTACCCATGTGCACACACACATGATAGCGCATGTATGTGGAGGTCGGAAGCCAACCTTGGGACTGGTTCTACCTTTTGCCAAGCTCAAACTTAAGTCCTCAGGCACCTTTGCCCTCTGAGCCATCTCTTCTGCCTAGTATTCCAGGAAGTTTTAAAAACTGAGATTTAAAATTGAAGAATTAAAATTTAAAAGATATCACAAAATGGTCCAGGGCACAGAAGTTTTCGTATACAGAACATATATGCCTAGTTGTAATCAGCCTTGCTCTCATCCTGGGGGGCCATTACCCCCATGTGCTCAGCATACCCTTGTGTGTCATCTGCTGTCTTCTACTGACTCTTCCACTTGCTTCTCTCCTGCTACTCTTGTTGGTTTTTTGATACTTTTTATATAGGAAGGATGGTTACATTCGTGAGTTGCAAACTTTTTCTTAACATGCTCATCTTTAGACTGTTGTTCTGGAAAGAAAGTAAGCTCGATGACGGTCACATTTATGATTCTCTTCCTCTGGGCAGGGTAGTCCAGTCAAGAAAGATTGTACCATCTAATTCCTACAGTACCTACCATATTGGAGATATGCTCCTTACATTTTTTAAAGCTGCTGTCTGTTCATTTTATGCAGATAAGTGTGTGTGGGTGTGTGTATCTGTCACTGTGTGGATAACATGCACTCTAGAACATAAAAGAGTTACTCTATCTTTATTTATGTATACCTGTGTGCCAACATGTGTGTGTGCACACCTGTGTGCAGATGCCCTCAAAGGCTGGGGGAGGGGAAGGGAACCCCAGGAGCTGGTGTTACAGGCATTTGTAAGTAGCCCATAGTGGGTGCTCTGTAAGAGCATCCTAACCACTGAGGGATCTTTCCAGCTTCAGACCCCAAACTCTTTATGGCTTCATTCTGTAGATTTTTTTTCTTAATTTCCCCCCAGGCTGGCCCTGAACTCACTACGTAGCTAGAGATGACCTTGAACTCCTGATCCCCCTGCCTCCACCTCTGAATGCTGGGATTACATGCCTATCCCTACCCCAACCCTGACTGTCTATATTCAACTTTTTGAAGCCTCTATAATTTATGTTGACAAACTACATGGAGAGAGGGGCGTGTGTAAGGAGAGGAGACAGATGTTCACGTACTGATTTAAAAATCAAGACCAGATAAAACCTGAAATTCACATGATGTTTTTGTTTGGTCACACACCGATGCTAACACAGGGCTCACCTGCACACCCCACCCCAAACATCTTTGAGGACCTGGTTCTCAGCATTCAGAGGTTTGGCTTAGAAACCCGGTTTCTGTCTTGCTTAAACATGTGACATTTCTCACTACTCATACAATCTGAACTAGCAGCTTCCAGAACTGCTCCGGCAGCTGTTTCCCAGAGGTGCTGGTTAAAAAGAATGAATCCTAGCCACCAGGAGGCAGAGGCAGACAGAGCTCTGAGCTCAAGGCCAGCCTGGTCTACAGAAAGAGAGTTCTAGGATAGCCAGGGCTATATGTTTTTGTTTGGTCACACACCGATGCAAACACAGGGCTCACGTGCACACCCCACCCCAGAAACACTGTCTCAACATCCTCAATAATAATGAATCAGCGATGGAGAGGACCTGAGCAGGCCTTCCTAATGGGCCCTGAAGAGGTGGGGGATATAGCCAGCCTCATCTGTCCATCCTTCCCCATCCCGGTCCCTGCTGTACCTGTGATAGTCTGAGTCTCTGAACTGATGGTCGTTGTGGTGGTCTGGGACTGAGTGGCAGGCACTGTCTCCTCTGACACAAACTGGACCGTGCTGGGGGCTGTCACAGGTGTGGTGGTCAGCTGGCAGCCACTCTGCTTGTGGGCTACAAAGGCATCCAGGTTGCTGAACTGCTGCTTACAGAGGCCACAGATGTGGATGTCCGGTGTCAGCTCTACCAGCACTGTGGTGCCTCCTGGGACTTCATGGGACAAAGGAAAAGTAACAGATTAATTCCAAGCAGACCGGCTTCATGGCAGGAAGCATTCATGGCTAATGGATGGTCTATATTGCTTCTTCTTGCATACCTACTCCAAATTCCATCCTAGTAGCTGTGTCCCGAGAGTCATGTCCTGTGAGGCACTACTGTTCCTCGGGACTGCTCCTGAGGGCTTGGGGTTTGTTTTACAGGAAAATTCTTTGGGGCTGGGGAGACAGTCCACAAACTGCTTGCCTTACAAGATGAGGCCCTCAGTTCGATCTTTAGAACCCGTCCATGTAAAAAGCTGGGTGTGAGGAGTGTTTGTAATCTCAGCATAGGGGAAGAGGAGGAGGAGGAAGAAGAAGAGGAAGAAGAGAAAGAAAAGGAGGATGAAGAGGCAGGAGGGTCCCAGGGCTTGCTGGCCAGGTGGCCTAGCCTACTCAGCAAGCCCCAGGCCAGGGAGAGAGCCTGTCTCAAAACACAAGGTGGATGGAGACTGAAGAACAACCCAGAGGTGTCCTTTGGCCCCCATGCGCATGTGTACAAGGATGCACACACTGGCATGTCCACATTCCCAAAATCAGTAGAGAAGACAGGGCTTTTGAAGTACAGGGTGCCCAGTCCCTCCCAGGCCCCGAGGCTGTCTCCTACCCCAACAGAAAGGTCATGATGAAAACTACCTCCATTCCAACCACATTTCCAAGTGCCCCATCATCACCTTGAGACCCACCAGGCACAACGGTGGTCCATGGTGTGAACTCCTTCAGCACACACACAACATAGGGAGCAAATGTGGACGCAGATACAACACCGGTGCTTCTGCAGACATTTTATAACTAGGAGGAAAATTCCAGAATCCCTGATTCTTGTTCTCACTTCCCTGGTCCCTGAATGAAACCCTGGAATCAATCAGTTAGAAGAGTATACTTCAGGTTTCTGATACTTGTAGAATAAATTCATCCTTACCTGACAGGGGCACCATTTTTCTACAGCCGTGAAAGAACATTGCTCAATACAGCACTGAGACTGTCAAAGCATCTAATACAATATCTGGTTCTATACTAGAAAGTAATATAGCTTCAGATGCAGCTTAGTTGGTAGAGTACTGGCTTTGCATACCCAAGGCCCTGAATTTGATGCCCAGAACCTTCTAAACATGGGCTAGTAGAGGCACACAGGCCAGTAATGCAGTCCTAGTCACTCCAGAGGTGGAGGCTGAAAGACTGGGTCTTAAGAGCCCTCTTGGGCCTCGGCCAGTTCAAAGCACCTAGTCCCTTGTCTCAGAACAACAGCAAAAGAAAGTACTGTATAATGTACTGTAAAAAAAAGTTTGTTAAATAGATATCAATTTATTAGTGGGTCTCAACATGAGAAATTTAATTTTTATTCTTAAAACTTTCTTTTGTGGAGTTGTAGGGAAGGCTCAGTAGATAAGAGTATGTACTGCTCTTGTCAAGGATTTGAGTTCAGGTCCCTGAACGCACAGCACACTAGGCGGCTGACAACCAAGCCCCCCAACTCCAGCTCCAGGGGATCTGATGCCCTCTTCTGGCCTCCATGAGCACTCGTAACCACAAACATATACCCATTTCTATCTACAAGTAATTAAAAAATAAAAACTTAAATTTTCTCTTGTATAATAAAACTCACCAAAAAAGTCTGGAAGAAACAGTAAGAACTGCCAGAAAAAAAAAAACCCTCATTATAATATTTCCATTGTATCCTTCATGGACATTGCAAAACCTCTTTCTACTATTTCTGCTTAAAATTGTGAAGCTAATCTTTCCCCTACATAGTACTACGTAAGCATGTGTGACACCATGTCACTCCGTGATATCCACACATTGTATAGTAACGTCTGTAACCAGTGAAATGAAATACTACAAAACCACATTCATGTAACATGATGGACGTACAACGATTTTCTGCAAATCATAAGCTGTTTCGACTCTCTCCTCCAGGATTAAGACAAGGCATCTGTGTGTTGTGGTGTCCTGTGGTAGACGTCCCAAGGACAGTGATGCTGGGGGCGACATTTTGTAAGTCACCTTGCTAAGGGATTTAGAAATGAACAGACGGCAGGAACAAGGCCCTCCTCCTCTGGACTGCCCTAGGGCTAGGGAATCACTGAGGAAAGAAGCCATATTTGCATAGGTGTCTTCACGGTAGTGAGGGACTGGGGTCCAGGGTGAAGGAGCTTCAATACTATGTTATGCTCTGGTATTCACGAAAGGAACAAGTCACAATGGGGACTTTTCTTAGCACCCTGAAACTGTCGCTATCAACAGGCCCGTTACCCCTGGGTTTCCCATCTGCCAAAAAAGGGCGAGACAAATCTTCCTTGGGATCATTTTAGATGAAATTATCTGATGTGGAGGCTGATTTTCCATTCCGGAGTAAGTCATCTGCTGGGGTCATCCCTCTTTAAAACACAACCTTAGGTCCACAGCACTGGAAGACACTGAGACGCATGGGGTGGAGACTGGGGTTCAGAGTTCAGAGGAAACCCAGGCAAGTTTGGGGAGCCAATGGCTATATAATATCTGCAGTTAGCAAACTGACTTGGGTGTTTTCGAACCTTGTCCACGGCTTTTCAAACTTCTGGGGCTCCAGGTAGCAGGAGAAGACCTGAGATTCAGGGCCCCACCCTAGAAGACCTGCAGGGAATGGACCCAACAGCCACCGGCCGCTTCACGGTTCAGTCCGTGGCCCATACTTTGGGGAATAAAGGTACATGGAGATACTAATAGCTTATATGATGTCAGGAAAATAACTGAATTTCAAACTCAGTGCAAGCCACCCTGGCCAGGTCTTTCACATCCACATCATCCCCTACACTGAATGCAGAGATGGCTTTGCAAACCTGCCCACAAGCCCTTCAAGGGATGCTCCAACCTCAGCCACTGAGGCATAAGTTTCCATACCAGTCGGCTTGGGTCACCCCACTTTTTCTTTTTCTCCTCTGCGCCCCAAACTCCACCCGGCGGTCCGGGGAGGTGGTGACAGTCTGCACCGCGTGGCTTCCCCGGGCCGTGCCTTCCCGGGGGTACTGCAGGAGTTCGGGGCGGTTCCCTGCCTGGCACACCAACCGGGGGCGGGAGTGCAAGGTGCGCCGTCACCCCGATTCGATCCCAAGAGCCCCGGGGCTCCGGGCCTGGTGGCTGGTCCGGGCCAGGCCCCATTTGCGTCTACCCAGCACTTACTTTGCACTGATCCAGAGAAGCTGTCTGTCTCTCCACTGGCGTTCATGGCCCCAGACCTTGGGGCGCTGCTCCCGGAGCCCCACAGCTCGCTTTACCTGATGCAAAGACTTTTCCCTTGCATTTTTCCCCCGCACCAGCCAGTCTTCTAACTCTACGAGGCGGGGACGGATGTACAGCCAGCACCACTTCCGCTGCCTAGAGGGCGCTGCCCCCATGCACCCAGCCGGGCTCCTAGGCTGTGTTCTCCCGGGGAACCGGGAAGGTTCCTGGGCACCAAGGCCAGAGCTCCTCGATCCCTTCATCCTATCCCAAGCATGCCAGGGACTCTGTGGTCTCCTTGAGCCTTTGTATCTTGCTTTCCACAGGGAAACCCTCATTCCTCTGCAGACGCCAAGGTGATGTGCTGCTGGCCTGCTAGAGTGGAGCCCCAATATGGGGTGATCCCCTAGGGCTGATCCAGCGGCGCAAAACCGGGGCGGGGCTTCTGCCCTGCTGCCGGGTTGAGCGGGTGAGATCGCTCAGCGGGAGTAGGGCACACGTCACCAATCCTGATTCTCTGCCAGCTCACTTGGTGGAAACAGACTCAAGCATCCGCGTATAGAATAAATAAGTAATTTAAAAAAGAGATTAGTGAAGGAATCGATGGGAGAAGTCATTGGGGCCCTGCTTCTTGGGGCTTCGAATTTCATCCAGCATTGAGGGGTCGTTAGAATTGGTTGGCGATGGTGAACCTGGGAAGAAGGCTCATTGGTTAAGAGTATGTGTTGCTCTTACAGAGGATGAGTTCTGGTCCCAGGACCCACATTCGGAGGCTCACAATTATTTGCAACTCTTCCAGAAGATCCTGCATTCAAGAACTGACCTTAGCCCTCATCTTGAGTTTACCTAGGTTCCAATGTCCCTTCTTATTTCCTGTTATGATCTAAGACACTGTCGGAAGCCACAAAGTCACTCCACCGGTCAGATATCACTCTAAGAGGTTTACTGGGGAGGGGAATGGAGTGATTGCCTCTGGGAAGGGTGGAGGTGAGCAAGGGTGGAGGCAAAAAACAGGCGGGAAGAAAGACCGCCTTTTGGGGGATATAGCGCATGCGCAGAAAGGGACTATAGTTCAACTTGGCGCCTACTGATGACGTTAACTTGCTGTCTCAGGGTCCTTGGGGCAGGTGATGGAAGACATCTGTTTACCAACATTCTAATCTTTTGTTCAATATAAAAGAGGAGGAACTAGAAAGAGCTGATGTTGAGGCCGGAGAGGTCTTTGAACTATTTTCTGCTGTCCGGGGTTCTTATCGGCAGGGTATGCTAGGTAGCCGTGAGCCTCAGGCTTTGTGGCTAGCGGTTGGTAGTCCTGTAACAGCAAATTAGTTGTTTGATTAGAGACTTTTTTTTTTAAATTTGTCGTTGGAGAAATGCCAGAGGAGAAGTGGATAAAAGAGGGTACAATTCGTAAAAGCAGAAAGATGAGGAGAGGTGTCAGGAAGGGTCAAAAAGCCCAGTGTTTAGAGGCATTGAGTTGTCCTTACGTTTTTTCAGAGGTCTGTTTGAAGTTGTTGAATTTTGTTTTTACTATATCTGGTTGATTAACATAGAAGCAGCATCCCAAGGCAAAAACCACCTTTTCCAGCTGTCTAAAGAGCTAGTCTTCATCAGTAGCAGTTTTGGGTTACCACCGCAGTCAGGGAGTCAATTTCCCCTTGAAGAGTGAGTATGGGTTGGGCCACCTATTGGAGGTCCTGGATCATCTGGGAGAAAACTGACGATACATAACCAGAGAAGTGGCCAGTGCCTCCTTCGCAGTGACGACACCCGCAGTTAATGTCTGAGACAGCTAGAAGAGACAAGATTTGAACTGCCCTTTTATGTCCGGCAGCTATTGAGTCCGCAACCGCAACTGGTAAGGGATCTTCTCCATGTATCACCCCCAACTTGGGGAAGAGAAATATTAGATGCAAACTCCTGACCAACTAGGAGGGTAGACCTGAGTACCACAAAGAAGAATCGGGGTAATATGAACGGGAGGCCGCTGGGACTGAGATGAGGTATTAAGGTTATGGTTTTGTCGCAGTCTAGGGAACGTGCCCCAGATGCCTTAAGACAGTTTGTCATTGCCAAAGAGGTTGATAATGAAAAAAGGAAGTCGGGGTGACGCCAGGCTCAGCGTTGTAGTTGGTGAATGGGGAGGGAGGATTATTTGACAGGGTCACCAAAGAAGCTATAAGAGGCAGTTGTGAGCTAGTCCCAGGAGGAACACAGCAGTCAGCCATCTCTAAAGCTGCCACACTGGGTGGCGTTAAGGAGCCAGTAGGCCGAGGTCAGAGTCTGAAGCAGGAGACAGGTTTGTAGTATTTAGGAGAGGGTATGTCAAAGATGTCAAACACACCTTAGAGGAATGTTTAATTACCCCTTCTACTTCACCTATCTCCAGGGGTTGGGTAATCGGGATAGATTTTCTTTGATATTAATCGTGGGTGTCTGGGTTTGCAGCAATGGTAGAGTTTACCAGTGATGTACATTTCCTGCCTGGGATTCTCTGGGTCCCGGATGTAGAGGCAGATGTCCGATCCTGTAGATGGCAGCAGGATCAGGGCGAGGTCGTATGTATGATGAGTAGTGTGGGTAGCCTCCATATCTGTCTGGCCACTCTTTACAATAACTTTTTGCCTGGTCATAGAAGGAGCAGACAAAAAAAGGAGGTAGATTTGGGGGTCATGGGAATTTTAACTGGCTCCTGAAAGCCTGCTTTGGAGCAATTTCCTGACCCTATTTGGAGGGACTTTGTTATAAGTGAGGGTGTCTTGAACCCCAATCTCCGTATGTAAGAGTTCCAATGAAGGGAGTAGGACAGGGGAGTGCGTTGGTGATCAGAGAGGGGGCAGGGTTTGGGCGAAAGACTGGGAGTCAGAACCTGTGTATGAGCTCAGAGGTCATTTTGAATGCTCAGTTCCCAATTTGGTCCCCTACTACTGCTATTATTTTGGGAGATTGTGGAGCCCCTGAAAAAAAACGAGTCCTAGCTGGAAAAGATAGTCCATTGGGGGCAGACCTCTCTGATGGTACAACACCTGCTATGGAAAGAGCTCCACAGAGCTGACCTGCCTCCCCCACCACAGTGGGCTGAATCCTGGGAATCCTGAGCCAGAGCAATCCTAGCTCCTCAAGTTGCTTCTGTCTGGCATTCTGTCACAGTAATGAGAAAAATCAGCTCCCAGAATAACTGAAGCAGCAAGTCTTTGTTCTGGGAAGTTTCCCTTCTCAGTAAAGAGCAAAACTGCCTCAGGACAACATAGGAACACTAGAGATTCCGTTTAAAGGTGATGGCATGTGTTGTTTTTAGTTTTAATTAATTAAAATAATATTTTGTATGTGTATGAGTGTTTTGTCCACATGTGTACCTCATGTGTGTCTGGTGCCCCAAGAGCCCAGAAGAGGGCTTCTGGATTAAAGCCCCTGGCTGACAACGGGCTCAACAGCTAAAAATATAGTTGTTGCTTTTAAATATCCCTTGTTTTTCTAGATGAAGGCTAACAGTGGTGACTCGCTGTGGCCAGATGGTGGTCTAATGTTTCATTGCTCAGTTGAACCACAGCTGGTGAGTCACCTGGGTCCTTGGCTTCTGTTCTACTCTGAATCTTGGGGCTATTATGCTTATCTCTGTGGCCCAGGCTTCCAACTGAGAACAGAGAAGTCTAGGATGATTCCTTTATCTCTAGTCTGGTCTCTGCAGCTGTGTCTCTTCCTGTAGCCCAGGATAGACCCACAGTAACCTTACTTCTACCAGGTGACTTTGGTCAAAGGTCTCAGAAAATGCCACCATCTCCCTTTATCTCCATTTTCCTCTGTTTCTAAGGGGAGGGAAGGCAGTGGCTCCCTCTGGGGTGTCATTTGTCTCTGGGTTATCTTGTCACTTGATATCAGTTCTCAGCCTCCTGAAGAATGCCATTCTCTGAGTAGCTTCTCTTTTCTCTGTTGGACCTTGAAGAACACAGCTGGAGGAGGGCATAACACGCTGGATTTTCCATTTTGCTTTCATATCTAGATAACGCCACAGGTGGTGTTACCTGGTATTTCTCACTCTCCCAGGGAACTTAGCAAGGCCACACGTTTGAGTACCACCCATATGTTCTGGAACAGAATGCGAAGGCCTGTGGTCCCGACATGCCCCAGGTGACTAGCTGAAATCTTGGACAGGGACCAAGGGGAATTCCCATTCTAAAATGGGTTTGCTAATGTTTAGCAACGGCTTGTAATCTTTCACATAAATGTCAGCAAAAACACACTTGAAACTTAAAATCCTGGCTAAGCCTCTGTAACGGGAATGCTCAAGACTGAACCTGCTGGGGACTGGGTGGCGGGTCCACAACCATTGCTTTTCCTGAGAGCTGGCCTGGAGTCCCACCTGGCACCAAACTCAGGGTGACACACCTGTGGTTTTCTGAGTGCTCATCAGATAACTTCACACAAAGCAAGCACACACAAGTTTGCTTCTCTCTTTTGTGTAGCTAAAGGAACAGGGAAACATCCAAATCTTACCAGGGCCACACAATGAAAGGACACTTCTTCTCCAACCTTTCTCAGCTCCAGCCCCATTCCCCTCCACCCCAGTTTCCCTGTATTCTACTGACTGGGACCCCAGATTCTCTCCTGGGAACCAATCACTGAGACCAGTTTCACTTGTTTCTTATTTGTGCCTTAAAACGGTTTTATAGATAACCAAAAGTGCATGTGCATATTCAGGATTTTTTTTTTTTTTTAAATCAAATGACTACAAAGCGGAGAGAATCCCCTCTGTGTGTTTTTGCATAACAGTGAGACCAAGGAAACACACTTCTAGGTTAATCTAGGTTTGCTTCCAGGGTTCAAGGAGCAGTTAGATTTCCCATTCTTTCATCTTCTCTCACCCCTGGAGGTCAGAGGACACCCCGCAGGTTACTGTGGGATCTCAGGATTCCACTTTCTGGCTGGGCTGGTGCTGGACTTACTGATGGATCTCCACATCCATCCTCAACCTCCGATTCAAACCCTAATCCACCGAGCAAGCACTCGGTGTAGCCTAGACTGGCCTCAGATTTAAAGGTGTAGCCTAGACTGGCCTCAGGGTCGTGATCCTCCTGCCTCAGCTTCTTATTGCTATGAGCCACAACTGCTGTGCTGCTGTATATTGCTCTCTTAAAATATAAAATGTAAAAGACGAAGAGTTAGAAATGAATCAAGCCACATCACGGAACTTCTAGTTGCCAAATGCTACATTGGTTATTATTATTATGATTATTTGGTTTTGGTTATTTTTGAGATGGTGTCTCACTGCATAGCTCATGTCAACCTCAAACGTGCAATCTTTCTGCCTCAGCATCCCATGGGCTGAGCTTACAGTTGTGTACCATCATGCCTTGCTCAGTGTGCGCCGGAGGCTGGCGTGAGAACTCAGCCTGGTTCCCACAGACACTGTTCCAGTGTCGAAAACCAGG